GCCGAATTAACCGACCAATTTTGGTCGGTTTTTTTAATATTAATTTTTATTTATTTTAATTGAAAAACCGACCAAAGTTGGTCGGTTTCTTGAAACATAAATGTCGCGGGACTCAAAAATAGTTTTCCGCATTTTTGCGCCAAAGAAAACCGACCAAAGTTGATCGGTTTCGTAAAAAAAAAAATTAAAAAAAAATATTTTGAAAAACCGACCAACTTTGGTCGGTTTTTTGACCGACCAAAGTTGGTCGGTCAACCTTGGTCGGTTTTTGCCGAATTTCTAGTAGCGTCACTTGCTAGGTAATTAAGTTATATATTTTAATAAATATAAATTAATAAATTGCCAAGATAATTAGTTGCTTTTATAGATTAAATTTACTGTTTAGAAAAAATATTCCACTGTTAGTATATATAACTTCATCCAAATAAATAAACTTTTTAAATAGAATATATCCTTCGAGATTTCACGAGATTTATCAATGCTCTGTTTAGGAATGGTTTTCTAGCAAAATCAAATATTTTCTTTCATTTAAAAAAAAAATCAAAATGTGTCAAACTTTGATCCTCTTAGTAGTTATAGAAAAGGCAAAAGGGCAAAAAAATTTAATATTTGGCTAAATTGAGAACTTATCTCTTCCTAGTTGTTCACATTTTGGCTTCTCAAAGAGAATCAGATCTCTATAGTTAACTTTGTTGTTTCTTCCTATTTTGCAATAAAATTAATAGGTTAATATTTGATGTTTCTACTCATTTTGCAATAAATTGAATAGGTTAGGAGAAATTCACACCGGAGAATTAATTACATGATTGTAATAAGTGGTGGCCATATTGAAAAACAATTCAAGCAATGAGCAAAATTCACTTGATATACTGAAGTTCTATACCAATGGAAAACTTCCTCCATTTTTACCTTTTGATATCAATTATTTTCTCTATTCTGTTTGTAGTTTTGGGCAATGCAAAATCTCTATCACCCCTTAACTCCACTTATATTATGCAAGCTAGAGAAAGATTTATGTCTCTTGATCTTGTTTACCCGAAAAATCAGATAACGTTAAATTTATGTATGGTTCTAAGGATACGTGATACCCTTTAATACAAATATAGCAATACGAGTATTCTTGACTATGACAATGAGAATAATGAACAGAAAGATGAGTAAGATGAAGTAAAACAAGCACAAGGAGATATTTTTGTATATGAAAAAAGATCTTTTGTTCCGGTCTCTTCAGTATGTCCATAGCTTACAAGGATCCCTTGTTTTATAATAGAGGGTCATTACTTTATTTATAACAAAAAATAATAAAATAAAGCATATAGTGGAGGACCCATGATGATTTGTCTCTTCCTCGATTCCCGCCAAGATTCTCTCTCTTGGTGCGGTTGTAACGGCTCTTGTCTGTGAGCTCGATACTGGCTCGAACTCGTTACTGGGTGGAGCCCTTCGGTCTTGGCTTGAGTTCGACCTTCGGGATGGGCGTGGCGTATTTCCGACCTCGAAGCAATGCCTTGCGGATCGATTTGGTCACGGGCTCGATAAGATTATCGAGCCGACTCCTCGAGCAGCCTTCGGACTCGAGGCTCGTTTGTACTGTCTTCGGAGCTCACTCTCAAAATCCCACTCCGGTTTCTTGCCACTCGAACTCGATCGAACGTAGGAAGGCCGGAATTTATTTCGACCGTATATAGATCCATTTAAGCTCCAAGATCCTCCAATGCCATCCTATACTTTTACTATTTACCGTCGTGATGTATTTGAAAAATCAAATTTCAAAGACTATGACTCGTTGCTTGAAAGTAGAATCGCTCGATCTCAAGCTAGAGCAAGTCATTTAGCTTCAGTTCTTGAATCCAAAAATGGTGCAAATGCAAATATCTCGACGAAAAATTGTTACCAAATTATAGGTATCCTTCTTTTTATTTTGTGAACCTTTATAAAATTTTTATTAATGATAGGGAAGTTCAGGTAAATCCCTCGTGGTGGAATTTTAAGCAAGATATGATGGGTGGAATTTTCATGGATACAGGAACAACTTTTACCTATTTTCCTCATGATTTTTATGTCATATTTCGCTACATATTTAGAGGTGAAGTACAAGATATTCCTATGGTTGAAAATTCAATCGGACCTTTTGATACTTGCGATAAAGAAGATCCAATTGGTCGTGATTTATACTTTTCTGCTGTGAAGTTGTACTTTGGCAGCGTAAACTCCAGTACGATGTTGTTTCTCGTACAAGAACGAGTTGTTGTGAACTATCGTGGGCTCTACTGCTTGGCTTTTATTGGATGGAATAGAGACCAGTCAGTATTAGGCATGTATCAACTCCAAGGTGTAGGCTTAACTTTTGATACTTCAGAAAATACGCTGTCCTTTGACATAGATGCATGTGATTAAGTACAATATAAAATTTCTCTGTGTTGCAATCTTAAGGTGCATCAAATAAATTCACTACAATTAGTGTATGCCTTTTCTTTCTTTATGTATATATCTTTTCATCAATCTAAAGCTAAACTTCTTCTTCTTCTTTTTTCTGCTGACAATCTTCCATTTGTAGGTAGCATAACCATTCACATCCACTTGATTGTAAAATCCAACTAAATTAGTATTAAAACATTAAGACAATTTCATAATTGGTTGAGTGCAACCATTTAATGGATATTTGAGAAGTTAATTTCTTCTGAAAACCTTGTTTTGAAGTAGATTTCTAATAATTAAAATATCGTTTTTGGTCATGAGTTTATGCGATTTAAGCATTCTCACATTGTTGCGGCCAAACACACACGCAAGTATACGTGATCGTCAAGTAATAAAGTGACTAAAAGTCGAATGTCGAACCCCACGAGGACTTGTGATTAATTATTAACTAAATTAGACTATCCTAATTATCTCAACAAGAATTAAAGCGAGAAGTATTTGATTCTAACTAATTAAAATAAAGAAAAATAAATAGTGAACGTTGAACAACAGAATAGCAGATTTTTATGTTATCAGTGCGATGAAAACGATATAGGGTTACGACTATCTAACAATCTTATTGTATTCTTCAATTAAATTAACTAATTAATTTATCTTGTTTATTAGTTGACAGGATTAATATTGCTCATAAGAATCTGTCGAGTTCTTACTCGCCAGTGATGTTCGGCATATTTCGATATGTGTTGCTGTTACTTTGCCCATATTTTAACCGCTTCTT